TTCAATGGAATACCAATTCTCAGGGAGACATTCCATCCTACTTGCAAGAGTTAGAGGGACCTGGTTTCAGCTTCGTATTCAGTCCCGAAGCGGGACAGCATTTATTCTTCACGCGGGCCCGGTGAAACATGAGACCGGTGGGCAAGCGTCTTCCTCGTTCTGTACATACGAGCTGCAACACCTGTGTCAAAGCTATTACGAGCCCGTCGGGATGTGGGTCTGCTCACATACGGCCACTCGTAGGAATGAGATTCCTCTCACCAGAGGCAACGCGAGCATCGTAAATTTTGTGGACCCCGAGAGTCGTCCTCTGGCTACTTCGCCTCGCAAGGACGCATGGTCGTGAGGCCGATGAGGCCGATCGATAGCGGCCGGTGGCAGGGCACTGAAAAATTTAAGCTAGGATTACCTTAGAACTGATGAGAGGTTTCGTATCCTCAGTAAGATTAATTGCATCGGGGTCGACCGCAGAAACAGACGGAGTTAGCTGTTGATGCTCTCGGCCGGCAGTGCACGAAGTCCTTCACTCCTTCACGAAGACCGGTCCTTCGGTATCGAGAACTACAGTATCATTTCCTATGTAAATACCTCTTTGGTCTGGTTCTGGTCTGCCTAGCATTTCGCATGGTTCGGTGACACTCGTTAGTAGATTCCTAGAGCTGCTTCGGGGCCGTGACCGATCGTTTAACTGTAGGGCTGAAGAGGGAAAATCACGAATGGGGGACTGTCGGAAAATGATAGTGGTCGATCGAGGAGGCAATGGAATCGCCGATCCGACTTTCGAAATGGACGGTGGAACCCGATTCCGGAGACGAAGATTTTGGAACGCGAACCTCACTATTTATTTATATTTATTTATTTATCGAATGCCTATGCAAACGAAGAATTGCCAGAGATTGAAGTCGAGTGGTTGGTGGGTGGGGCTTGGGCATGCTTGTTCAACCATGTAATGGCATCAGCACCAGCGGCGTGCAGAGTGCGTAGGCCACCATGGAGGAAAGTCATTTTGCAGTCATCTACTATATGCGTCATCGTTTGGGGCCTGCCGCACGCGCACAGTGGGCTATCAAGCAGTCCCCATCGGTAGTCATTAGCCGCACAACGCCCATGACCAGTCCGTAAGCGGTTTAGAAGGGTCCACAGTTTCCTTGGAAGGCGAAAGCCTGGTGGTTCGACGGAAGGGTCGTCAACTATCTGGCAATTGGTCGCCGTCGACTTAGACCACTCCTCGCGCTAGCGCTGCTCCACTGGCACAGCTTCGCCTGTTGGTAAGATGGCCCAGAGTGGGCGCCGGGATGGGAGGCGGTGGGCTGGTGGATCAAAGAGGTCAGAGTGAAGAGGCAAGTCAGGATTTGTTTTCACGAGGGCCATCATCTTTGCTGTGGCAACCTCACGGCGTAGTTTTGGCGGGGCTATGTGACATAACACGGAGAGCCATGGCACGGGTGTGGATCTTCATACACCAGTGATGGTACGCATTGTTGTGTTCAGCTGTACATCTATGAGTCTAATGTGCGAAGACTGTGCCCAGACCGGAGCGCAGTATTCTGCAGCCGAGTAACACATTGCCATGGCCGTAGTTCGCAGAGTATGCGCTCCTGCTCCCCATGTCGAGCCAGCTAGTTTGCCGAGAAGGTTGTTCCGAGTTTTCACTTTAGAGGCTGTCTTTTCCAGGTGTTGTCGGAACGTCAACGTACGATCCAGGGTCACACCGAGGTACACTGGGTTTGGATCATGTCACAGTTGTTGGCCATTTAAGCTCAAAACGAGTTCGCGTCTGGCGGAGGCATGGTGCAGGTGGAACACGCTGGACACCGTCTTGGTTGTACTCGGTTGCAGTCGCCATCGTCGGCAGTAGCTTGCAACAGAAGCCAGGTAACTTCCAGGTTGGAGAAGTCGTGTGATTGGAATCCAAGACAGATGTCGTCGGAATCCAAGACAGATGTCGTCCGCAAAGATGAACTTGCGTGATTTCATCAGGGGTAAGTCATTGGTAAAGATGTTGAAGAGAGTAGGGGCGAGTACAGAGCCTTGGGGTAAACCGTTGCGTTGCAGCCTCCAGGAACTGACGCGGTCCCCCATGCAAACTCTAAATCGACGGTTGCGAAGCAGTAGCTCCACCGAATTGACCACCCAACGTGGTAACATCCTTGACAGCTTGGTTAACAAACCAATGTGCCATATGGTATCATAAGCTGCTGTCAGGTCTAGGAAAACAGCACCTGTCTTCAGTCTGCACCGAAACCCATTTTCGATGAAGGTGGACAACGCACCAGCACCTGGTCGCAGGTGCTGCGGCCAGGGCGGAAGCGATCAACACTCAGCTGGGTGTCCACTAACGGTGTGATTTGTTGGAGGATGAGCCGTTCCAGCAGCTTATAGCAGACGCTGAGCAAAGAGATTGGTCGATAGTTCGCTTAAAGGGAACCTCACTTAAACTCCCAGATGAAAGACGAGGCGAAGAAGCCGACTGGGTTCGGTTCTTGATTGCTCTTAATCCGAACCCCGTTCTCACGTGTTGAGCAATGCGACCTGCAATGCGTAAGCTATCACTTTTTCTCAAAGTGCTTCGATGTTTGTTGACTGTTTTCGTTCAATTACCCGTTCTAAAAAGGGAAATTTGATTTCCTTTCACTCGAGGGGAAAGCTGCTAACGGGGTAGACCGAAGAAATTGGGGGGAAAAGGAGCCTGCTAGGCCGTCCTCCCTTGGGACTCTGGTGAGAGTGAGAACTGCCTGCTCTGCAGGCTGCATATGGGACTTCCTTGGCTTCTTTGGATCTCGTTCCGAGACGCGAGAGCCGGCATCAGGGGGTGGCATTAAAATTCTGCTTTTCAGGGTTTCATCCCGCCCTAATTAGAATCTTTCTCAGTCTTCACCCCATCAATCACACCCACCGTGCTTCGCACTCTGACCGGCTTGCCCGGATCTTAGGATGATCCAAATGACGGCAATCCCTTCTTCCCCTTAAAACGCCTACGAGGCTTTAATGTATGATCAAGTGTTCCGTCAAATTTAATCAAACTCCACCTTTTTTTGAACGATCGGTTTGCAAATATGAGGCCCATTCAAGCTCTCAATAAAATGAGAAATATTTGAGACGTTTCAAAGTGGGCCTCTGCTTTAAACAAGTTGAAAATACAAACGGTTTTTATAAATACATTTAAAATCGTTGATATCATAGATGACAATTTGATGGTGTGGAAAGGCTCCAAATCCATTCGCATGTGCACAAAAACAAAAAATTAAAGCCGAAAGCAAAACGAAAATGGCTAGCAGACATAACAGACAGTACAACCTCGATTTTCCGAACGCCACATATTTCCACGTTTCGATAGTCCAGACCAGATCAGATATTCGACTGGTAACTTCTGACGCCTGTCACTGTACCACGAGTCACCATCAACGCTACTTTGCGTCCAGATACTATCACTCATATGTTATCGAAGAAGCCTCATTGATTCTCAAGATACATTGACATGGGGGTCTAAGTTATCATCCACGCAATAGGTGGCAATGGAAATTTTTTGACGAATGGAAGGAGTGAAAAAAATCAGGTTTTTAGTGAGCAACAAACACAAGGATGGTGCCTTTCTAGAAACTAGGAGAGGGGAAAAATACCGCCTCTGCTTGAATTTTCATATCAAGAAATCATTCATTTCTACAGTTATTTATGTTTCGGCATGTTTCATCGACGTCTTGTCTTCCACAGAAAAAATTTCTGAAAATTCCTCCATCTGGTTTAGCCACAGAAGCACTTGAAGAGTAGCAAGAAAATTTTCCGAAACCCGTTGTTAGTCTCTCGCTTAAAGTGGAGAGCCGATCCGATTCGTCGCTTTCCTGCCAACTTGTCTATCTTGCCAGTTGTGATCATGCCGTTGTCGAGGGTACACGACAGTTTTGGAGCATAGGGAAAGTTCAGGAGGGAAAAATTAGATTTGAGGGAAAAAGTGGATGCAAGCCTGTTGGAACAAACACAGACGTCGCTTCACCGTTCGAATATGAACAATCTAGGCGCCGAGTTTTTTTCTCTCCATGCACGGTATAAGGAGGAAACTGGAAGTTTGTCAGGGCAAGTTTTCAATAAACGTAGCGGATGGGATGATATTTGGAAATGAGTCTTTCTCCGAATTAAGCCTATGGGGAATTAATTTCACAGACAGCTGGAGAAGAATAAAAAATGAAAAAAATCGATCGCTAGGTCAATTGCGGACAGATGGAATGAAAGATAAACAGAGAGGAAACTGACGAAGCGATCGCAATATCCTCCGTATTCCCATAGGCCATTGTGAGAAGGAAAGATGAAAATTCTAAATTTTCTCGATTAAATTGATTTCCCGGATCTCATTCGGTTTCGTTCGGTTCGGAAAAACGACCCTCTAAAATATGCAAGGTGCATGCAAAATATCGTTTACTTTTTCTAAAATACTAGCAAAATATTAGTTCGAAAGCGTCTAGATATTGGAAGTGACGAAGCACGGAAAGACCGATCAGTTCCGGAGGCGCAGTAGATGGCGCAACCTAATCGAAAAGGCAGAGCCTACTGTATGGTCGAGGAAAGAATTCACCTGGTGTCTGACCAGTGAGCGTCCCCCCCCCCCCTATCCGGGTCGCGTTCACGAAGCGGAAATGATGAGGCGAGTGGTGGGCCCACGCGACTCTCCATCGTAGGAAAAGTCTGTCGGTGAAACACGTTCCCGGTCTGTGGCGAATAGAATCCTCAGCGGTAGAAATACTTTTTTTTCCATCCGCCGAGGCCTCGTGTTCGTTTTCGCTGGTCGCCGTGAGTTCTGAATGATTTCATTTCTCGCATCCACATAAGCTTCGCAAATTCTTCGTAAAGTAGGAACGAGGTCATCGAATGGGCGTATTTGCATATTGCTCACGTAGGAGTTCGGTGAGGGTAGAAAAAAGTGCGCAGAATAGAGACGACGAAAATAAAAAGTTCCGGTGATCCCATTACGCGCTCCCATACCTGCGTGTCCCCGTTAATAATCCATGGTCAACATGGCCGCCTCGAGTCCACATCGATCTGCAGGTCGAGAGTAGAGTCTGGCCTATTTCCCACCTATACACGGTGAGAGTAGAAATGGGGTGCAACTCGTCTCAACCGGATGTGCAGGGGAACGGAGAAATCCCGAATTCGACAAAGACTGCGGATGTGAGTCTCCCTCTTCTTTTTAATGGCACACTTTCTGAATTAATGCCATGGAGGCCGCAGCTGGTGCTCCCTGCATAGCCTATCGGGAACCTCAGATGGGATTCCGATGGAATATGGCCTTCGGCTCCCTTTCTTCCTCATTTTTCTTGCGTCTTTTTGACGGGTTTCCCTTCCCTCCGTAATCCTCGTTCGGGACTTCCGGATCCAGGGTTATTACACGCCTCCTCGGATTTATGGCACTCCGGTCTCGTCATTTGTTCTGCTAAATACTCCAAAGACCATCCCTCTCCTTCGAATGTCCTCGTATTTTTAATCTGATCTGTAATGACGACAGAGGGCAAATACGTGCGCGAGTCGAATAGTCGAGAGGAATTCTCATTTGTTTTTCGTCGACACTCCTATTCTGGCTGCGATCATCCCTCTTTTCTCCGAGAATTTCTTTTAAAATCATTTGAATGCCTGAGCTGTGTTAAAATTGAATTATTGATTGGCGTCTGGAAACAAACAGGCCTTAATTGGATTCCGCAAAAATATATACTTGTAGTCTCGTGTCATTTGAAACTAGAATATTATTTGGTAAGCATTTAATTGACTAAAACCAAGGCAGATGTAGGAGACCACGACATGCTAAGTACGTCACACACGATATGTTTTTTCACTTTTATCGAATGGCCTTTGGGCAGTTTTCAATATAGCTCCCTGGCAACGGGACATGTTTATGAACCGGCTTACGTGAAACCGCGCACGTATAAGAGTAAGTGGGAAGAACTGAGTCTTGCGCATGTATTACGCAGGATGTCCTACATAGGCACGGCCTCCCGTATCGAATTCTATCAAACTTTTAATACACCTTTCAGGAATTGCGTTCTATGCTTTATGAGCGACCGGCAGTCAGGATTACCTTTTATTAAACTTCGGCAAAGTACATTCCATACGTTCTATGCAGGAATTCCATCTCGATTCCATCTATTCCTTTTATGCAGGAAGCATTGAAACGTAAGCTCGGAATACATTCCCTCGGGCGTACCGAAGCTCAGTCTTGAAAATGATCATCTTGAGTATGAGAAAGAGAGAGAGAGAGAGGAGACAGGAGAGAGTCCTTCCACTTCAGGAAAAACTGAAAGGCTTATTTTTTGTTCAATGCTCGACTCACTGCGACCCCCAAAAAAGTTCCTTGAGAAACAAGGATAGTATTGATGATCTTGCTCGTGCGAAAGGCAAAATAAAATGCCGGCCAGATTTGCCCTAGATAAGGGAAAACGAAGCATTCCCACGGCCTCGATAAACAGGGAATTGAGCCCGATCGACGACACGGCATGCGATAGCAGCCGTCGAAGCAGCGCAGGAGCGGAGCGGAACGTGCGAATGCTTCCCCTTCCTTTTCAGAAATGGAACTACGAAAGCGTGAAACGGGAGGCGGGGCATAGAGTCGTTCCAGTCGCGTGACCCCGTTCGCGTGATGGGGATCTCTGCTCCTCGGGAGTCTCCGAATCTTCCGAGGAAACGCTACGGTTTATCGTGCATCGTCTACGTAATGCCTGTTGAAACACTGTCGGGGTGGGATAAAAAACCTTCCATGTCGTCATAAAATCTCATCGAGTCGTCAGATCTGAGATAAATTCCGCACGCATGTATTAATTCGAAAGACATCTTTTTCAGATGTGGAAATATCGATTCGGGAATCTCGAGACTTCCGACAGTGAAGCAACGATCAATCAAGTAACAATGCTCGATGCTCGATGCTCTCTCGAAAATGTAACTCACGTTACTCATGCGGCGAGTGAGCTGCCGAATGCGAAGCTCCGCCATGAATATTGCGAAAGTGTTTATCTTTTTTTTTTTAATTCCATCCTGTCCTACCACAGATTATATAGTGTCGCAGGGGAATGTATCAGCATGAATCATGTATCAGAATGAATCTGAATCTGAAATGATATGCACCGTGCGACCGCTGTCAATCTCCTCTCTCCTTTGATTGTTCAAACACTTCTGAATCTTATTTTTCGTCCTTCGTCGTTTATTTCGGCTCTGAAGGGAGTAATGGTCTCTCTACAAAAACTGCCCCACGTTAGCGCATTCCGCCGAAATTTTTTTGGTCTATATAATTTGGCAATTATCAGTAAGGAATTCGCGATTGTTTGCGGGGATCATGGTATCTCCCTTTAATCCAAATGCATTTATGAACAGAGACACAGGGGGAAAAAAGTGCCTGAAAACTATGGTAAATGGATTATTTTCTGTCTAGACAGTTGGGAACACACTCGCCAACCTGATAGGATACTGTAATGCTATTACAGTCGACTCCGCACATTGGAATACTCTCGGGACCAGCGAACTTTATTCAATAAACCATATTCCATGTATTCCAATGACCGAAACTATCTGCTGCATCGTATCGTAAATCGGGACCGTTTAATGGTATTCCATTAAGCAGAGTATTCCACTAATGTGTATTCCATTATGCGGAGTCGACTGTACACGAGAGGAGCAGGATGATAATCCGCAGGCAGAGAAAGCTCTAATGCAAAGGAAGTTGTGAGGGCGGGATCATGATAATCGCCCCGAGGAAATACCCAGAAAGACCTGATGAATGAAACGTGGAACAGGAACTCCCAACGATGTGTGGGAATATCGAGGAAAGTTCGAGGGTCTTAGAACGAGGCGATACGGAAAAAAACTTTCTTAACTCCGGAAGAATGGGGGAAGAGGATGGCTTCACTGATAATGCCGGTTTCCTTTTCTCCTCGCCTCGAGCCACTTTGCCACCGCTCCATCATTAAGGGTTTAACTACGAGGCCAAGTCGTGACGATGTGTTCGATTTCCCCAACTTGTTCGAGCGTTTCATCGACGTCGATGGATTGGGATGCGTGCATCAACCTCGTGCAAGCAGGCTCGAGCATGCTGAAGGGGGGGGGGCGAAAGGGGAGGGGGGGGTTATGTTTCCTCTGTATAGCCTTCTCCTTCACCTTCAAGCTTTCCTCGGTTTATTATCACATCATTAGGAGTTCCTATTCCACATTTAACTAATGAAGCATTTCTGAGTTTTTCTTTGAGGCTATTGGTATGACTCCCCCCCCCCTAATGATTGAAGAGTTTGGAGCTTTTTTCGTGGGAAGCAACCTACGCCCATAAACTCAAATTGATTTTCATGACGCACTGCTATGAGCAAGTGTTCCAATATTCAATATCATTCAATTCCTTCTCGGTAGTTTTTTTGGCGATGATTTTTAGCATAAATCTCATCCTTTTGACGAAAATCGGTTCGACGTTCTTCAAAATGACCCAGAGTGACTCGAATAGGATCGACAGGGCACTCTGGGTCAATTTCGGTCCTTTCAATCAGATTCTGTGATTGAGATAACTGTGGTATTACGGAATCTCATCAGACAAGTGAGTGAATTTCAAACGGTCTAGGCAAGAAATAATTCATACTCTGCAACCTCGTGATAAATGACTCTTGTTTCACCCTGTATTTTGCTGCGCATTATCTCTACGCATCTTGCGATTGAATGAATGTAAGTATCTTGATAAGCCACATGTCTCATGATAGAGGCGAGTGGTGACTGACAATGGATCGATAGAAAACGGGATCGACGTGGTGGAAGTCCCCCCGGACTGGGAATGGATCCCCGAGTTCCAGGTCATCTGAGGGAATCTCTCACCCTTGCACATGATGAATGCGGACCTTCCTTCGAAACGCTTTTCTCTTTAGGGCAAGGCGGTGATAAAGCCGGTGAAGAGGGAGAAGTACCTGGATACAAAATTTCCTCCTGAACCTGGCTCCCTCTTCTTCTCTAGGGACCTGAACGGCGTGGAATGGAAGAGACCCAACGTGCGTCTGCGTTTATCTTCCCTTCGTTTCGGCACTGTCTAGGATCTCACCTTAATATTCTTGAGTCGATTAATGCCATAAAAAAAGATGGCATAAAGAAATGAATGCCTGACAAAAACGTAGAAGAATGAATATTTAAAGGTATTCAGAACGCCTAATATGCCAAATGAGGAACGACAATTTTGTAGAACTTATCAACACAGAGACGAAACCCTTACCAACTCGGCTCATTTTTTGCACTCAAAGAATGCATAAGTGAAAATGAGCCCCTTTGCTGGGGACCATTGCAGGAATTGGTGAATGATCCAGAGCTGGAAATTGGGGGATCGAGCAGGTCCGACGTGCTCCAGGGGAAATTAGGCGATTGTTGGTTCCTTTCCTCCTGCGCTGCTGTGGCCGGCATGCAAAAGATCCTGGACCAAGTATGTCATCCCCTCCTTTTCTCTCCTTCGGACTACGAAATGTATCTCACTGTGATTCATTACTTTGGAGGTGATCCCGCCGAACCAGTCCCTGTTCGGGGAGGATCACAAAGGGATCGTGTTCTGTCGCTTTTGGCGCTATGGGGATTGGCAGCCTGTCTACGTGGATGATACTTTGCCTACACTTAACTCCAAGTTGGTTTTCGGCCATTGTAGCGACCAACGTGAATTCTGGCTCCCCATCCTCGAGAAGGCCTACGCCAAGTAGGACGACAAACCTTTTTTCCCATTATCTTCTCTTCACCCCCCCCTCCCCCTCCCTGTTTCCCCCCCCATCCACTTCTCTTTCCTTAAGGCAGAGTGAAATATTGCAGTATTTCTAGGACTCTCCAAGATAATTGGCTTTCCTACTCCCTCTTTCCGGGATCTCAGCAACCGATTGAGGTTCCGAATGAGTCCCTTTCCTTCACCCAAATACTTTGTATTCCTCGAAATGAAGCGATTCTTCTTCCGTTGCAACGACTCACCATTATCTGCTATATTGCATTCCAAGGCCTTCAATTATTTCCTGTATATCATTAGCCTCCAATCATCAGGCTGATATTCAGGCTGAGTTGTTGATCGGTCGAATATCAGCTTCGTCAATATATCATTCTGATCAGTGGATATTTGACAAATTAATTCAAATTATGAAGACAATTAATTCATTCTCATTCTGGTGGAATTTAACTCCGCATCCACCAACAGATGAATTCTGTCATTTAAAACTAGTTCTATTTTAAACAGCGCAACTACGTTGACAGCTGCAATGCCAAACATTTACTTATCTATGGCGAATTGATAGTGATTCATAGCTTGTGGCTTCCTATTATGAAAGAAAGATATTTAATAACCCACCAATAATAGTGAACTTGTCACTAAATATTTTCAGCCCGCAGAAATATTGACTCCGTCACCAGATCACGATGTATCTTCACCAACTTGGAGTCAGTCACCAAATTTTTATTTGGTGACTGACATAAAATATGATTGCACCATCACGGGTGCTGGTATCACCAAATTTGCATTAGCCCGTACCAAAAATATGCTCTCATCATTAAACTCAAGAATTTTTCAGCATTTACAACCCTATCAAGGAAAGGATTTTTCTTAATTTTCGGTTAGACCTGTGATGGCAAGATGAGATTGTAAGATATTATCATGCTTTGGGGGCCTTCGGGGGAGGACCTGTGGAACTAGTCTCCTTGCGCTTGTGAACATGTATGGGAGTGTTGAGTACGGCGACGACTTTCAGTTTCTGTGTGCTCTACATATTAAGGGTGCCATGGCAACCAGAGAGTTTGAGGACATTGAAACAAGGAGACGCCTGCATTGCCTTGAGTGATGGCAACGCCACAAGGGAAGAGGTTCGGAGAAGTGCACAAGATTATCTGATCAGAGAACCGGAGCATTGGGAGAACTTGAAGAGAACAAGTAACTGTCTCTCTGAATTGTGAGAGCTCCACATTTTGAATGCACGAGCCCAGTTTGGATCAAGACAGGCATTTGCAAACATTCACTCAGAATGCTAATTCACAGCCGGGATAGTCAGTGTCCTCTGCCCTGCAGGCCCCCTAAAAGAAAATGTTCTTTCTTTTGACACATGAAATGTGACAATGATTTAGTGCTAACTCAATAAATAAAAAATTGGTGGTCATTTCATGGCATCTGGTGAAAATACTGAGGGAAAATGTAGTGTTGGATTCATTAGGTCTGGTGATGAAATCATTTGGTGAAGGTAATAAGAATTTGGCGATGTAAGTTCATTGAGTGACCAAATAATAAAATCTGGTGATGAATGACTTCTTCGTGACAGTCAATATTATTTGGTGATGAATTAAATACTTACCATTATGAAATAGTCTCTAATCTCTAATCTCGGGACCTGTTCCTCATCTGTGCCATAACTCTGATATAAAATTATGCATCATATAAATCTAAAAGTAAATATGAATCGTGCATGCATGCTATTCCTCGCCTCTTTCTTTTCGTGTGATCACAAATAGATTTTGATTTAGCTTTGGAAAGGACAGACTTTTATCTTTTCGACCGTTCTTAGATCGGATGAAGATTTAAATTTTGCGTAAACGAGGAAGGAGCCCCGATCCGCTTGCTCATTTCTGCCTAGAGTGCACGGATCGTACGAGTCACTGGAAGGAGGGAAGTCCCTCGACGCCCTGGTGGATCTCACTGGAGGAATAGCGGAGTTCTACGACCTGCACGACCTGGCCTCCGCATCCGAGGAGACTCAGAAGGCAGTCTTCGACCGACTCGTCAAGGCCATGAACCAGCAAAACGCCTTTGTCACCAGCGGCCGGGAGGTCTGTCTCAGAATTGATGAGAACACGAACGATAGAGGCTGAGATGAACGGTGGCATTCTGACGACAGGGAGTGGACGTAGACGTGGAAGACGGTTTGGTGAACGGGCATGCCTACACGGTCACGGGTGCAGCCTACATACCAGACGGCCAATCGGGACAAGTTCGACTCATTCGGGTCAGGAATCCTTGGGGAAATGCTACGGAGTGGACGGGTGCTTGGAGCGACAGGTCAGTCGTCATCGCGTCGCGTCTCCATGAAAACCGGTTTACCTTTCATACAATGTTGGTTCGAGAAATAATAATCTGTGGAGATGTAACGTGAGAGGTACTTGTATCCACGTTCGGCTGTGGTCACGTTCACATTACAGAGGCAGGACTTTCTATTCAGATCGACTCAAGAGGGAAGAGAGATTTAGAAGCACGTCCTCTTCTTTCGTTCCGAAATTCTTGTATGAAATGAGGAGCAAAGCAGTATCATTCACTTTTAGGTTTTCATCCCTTCGTCACGATGAACAATTTGGGCTGAAGCAAATATTCCAGTTTAGCCAATGATGACACTGACGTCTATGAGCTAAACGATCCTTCTCGTCCGCTCCCGCAAGCATGACATAAATATGTTAGCATCATATCGGCGCCCGAGGTTTAAATAGTGTATGCCAATTGGGGTCTTCCCTCACGACGAAAACAAGGTTGGTCGGCGGCGTGCGATAAGCTTAATTCTGGATGTCGATTGCATTCAGAATTAAGGCGATCGAAATAAGATACGTTAAAAATAAGCATTTCTAGCGTGTCGCAGGGAATATTTTTTTCATTGATGAAGAATTAATGAGCCTGGAACGGAAACGTGAGCAACTACCGATGACTCGTAGAAATAGAACGGCTATGTAGGAGGCAGAATCTCAAATTCCCTACTCAAATGCCAAATCAACATTGGAGAACTAGGAGAACGCACCTAGAAACGTAATAATTAATGCATTATGCAATGAATTTCTATGCAATATATGTCTCTAAAGCGTGGAACTGAGAGAAAAACCAAATTATGAGTTAGAAGCGTGTTCACGGGATTCTTCCACGAGACTCAGACCCTCTTTCAGGCGCTTTGATTATTTCATGACGAACAAGAATCGTCTCAATATGCACTGGAGTGCCGCTTTGAGCATTACGCTGTCTTGCCAGAACGAAGTCCTAAATTGACATGAAAGGCGAGTCATGAGTGAAACCGTTTCCGCTATAGATGATGCTGAGCAGAGACTGGGTTGTCACTTGATATGTCTTCCACGTCAGCGTTAGCGCAAGCGCCATTTGGGCCGTACTATGCGGTCGTCTGGCGTGGCCTGTAGCAGTAAAGTACGAAAGGGCACTCGAGTAATCACCGACAATATGCCTTACAGTCACAAGGAAATGAGAATTAGCCCCTTTGGGAAAGTTCGTAATGATAGATAGGGAGTCGATCAGCCGTAGGCAAGGACTCTCATAAAGACTAGAGACTCCCATGTAGACTGGATTTCACTCATATTTCATCTATTTTAATCGACAACTCTATGTATAGAGAGAGTGATGTTTGAAATAGGAAGTCAGGTAAAAGGAAAACGGAAAGGAAAAGAATGTACCAAAAAAGTTCCTCAACGCAACATAACAGGACAAGAGATGTTTAAGCATCGGCTCGCGACATGAAGATGAAAATCTGAGCTCCTGAAAAAATCTGAGAAAGGAAAGGACAAGAAAGCATAGCTTCGATGTGCCTGGATTCGCACTTCTGTGTCATTGACGACCATCTCGACTAATGAAACGAAATCTTTTGGGGTTGCTCTGACTTCAACTCGAGTATGACCTCACTCCAACCTCGTCCTCACTATCACTATTTGTCCCTCCCGGTTCGGATCAGCAAAAAACAAAACTTGGACCCAGCTAGATCCACGTTAGCCCGGCTCCAACCGGCCCCGAGGTCTCCCAGCTTCAACAGAGTAGAACGAGAAAGGTAGATTTTCAAAAGGGGCCTTAGGCTGATACTTAGAGGTAGAATGGACGTCGGCACATTCTCCCCTTCCCGGAACTCTAAACCGAATTTCTACAAGTGTTTCCTACGCTCACTCACGTCACAGGCGAATTCGGGTACTAAGTGGTCTGAGGTCTTTGAGCGGCCAGCATCACTCAACGACTCGAAAGAAACGAAAGCCCTGAGAATGGGATCCGTCTTCTGCTGCCTCCCGAAAGAGGAAAAACAACATATCAGGAGAGAGCCGTCTTTTTTTCTCCCTAGTCGTTATCAACTTCCTCCTCGGTGATATTGAATGAGACGATGGGGAAAGAATGAAAAGAGAAGTGGGAATGAATTGCCCCTACCCTCCTCCCCCCTCCCCCCCCCTCTTGGGCAATGAAACCTGACGCCTGATTAGTGGATGGTGCTCAGTCACTGAAGCGCGGAGAAGCGTTCCAGTTTCCACCCCATTCCGAGTCTCTGCATTATTCTTTTACCATACGCCTCGAGGGAACAAGTGCCATAAAGCATGTGGCAAAAATATTCGAAGCGTACTTTATATGCATTTCCTGGAATTTAATCTCAGAACCTTCAAAACATGTTGAATAGAAAATGCAATTCGAATCTTTTCATCGATTTGTTGGTTCTTACCGTGAAAGTTGGAAAATGACAAACAGGGAAAAGCATGACACATGAGCATCCTTTCCTTATCAATAACTTATGGAGATAGAACTGAGGGAGATTGGATACCCAGGGGTGGAGAGCAAGGGGGAATATGGAGAATTCATGAGGATTTCCTATAAAACTAACTAACACCAGATGCTCCTCATACGAGAGAGGATGAGATGTGAGATAGACAGGAAAGATTAATGCCGGTCATTACCCTGGGAACCTCTGACGATTAAGAGAATTTGGGGAAACGAAAGAGATGTCTCCACTCTCTGATGACACACGTGACGGCTCCTCATCTCCATAGAAATGACGAACCGCGAATGCTCCCACTCGCTCTCTCTCTTAATGAGTCAATATAAGGGATCCTCGGTGGACGCAGGTTTCCCGCATACCATTGGTCCCCGCGACCCAAAACATTCATAATTCAGTCCGTTCCCTGCCCGAACTACGGGCGGATGTCGTGCAAAAAAGGTTCCATATATCCCATATATTCCCCTCGAGATGTTTGGACGAGTACCAAGCGTGGAGACCGGGCCATCTGGGACGATAAGGATCGGTCCCTATTGATTGCTGGTAGACGACCCGGGGATCCGAACTGAAGATGGCACGTGCCGTCGAGAAGAAGGGCGCCAGGAAACACTCCACTACGGACAGACGTCTGGAATGGATCCAGAAATGCTTCTTCTTGCTACTTCCAACGTCTTTCCCAACACGAATCGCGATTTGTGTGCATTTTTTCGGCTTCGATATCCCCGTTTTGTGGGATCGATGCTTTATAAACTCCAGACGCTTCATAAACTCCAGATCGTTTCTGCGAGCGACTCAGAGAGAGGATCGATGATTTCATTTTCGAGCCATTTCAGTCCAGGGGAACATGTATCCATTAAAAGGGCGTCGGAATGCCATTCGTCATTGACTCGCCCTTCATATCGGAAATCGGTAGAATAGTCGAAGGGAGGAACGAGGGGAATTCCATTCCGTTTGGCCGGCCCGGAAACAACTCCATTTGCCTTCGTTGTCTCCTCCGTGAAGCTCCAAGCCGTTTCTCTTTCCAAAATGGAAATCTCTGCATAACCATATTGGAGCTGAGAATGAAAAATGACATTTTCCGAGAGAGATTTTCGGTACCCTAATGTTCTAGACGAAGCGAAGCGAGATCAGGCAGACCGTATGCACCAGAGAACCTCGTTCTGAGGATGGTCGTCGAGAGTAGCGATACGATCGTTCATCTTTTTTTGGATCGTACATCATTTACGCAGTGACGAGAGGTGGGATCAAGTGGATCCGGAGGTGAAAGCAAAGATCGGTCAAACGCAGAAGGCAGACGGGGAATTCTGGATGAGTTTCCAGGATTTCTGTTCCGAGTTCCGGAACGCAACGGTGTGCACGCTGGGACCGGACTTCGACGAAGACGGAACCACCGACCCCACCAACGACGTCAGTCCCTTTTCTCTTACAATCATGATCCTTTGAGAGAAAATTTCCTATATATCTTGGGTCGGTCTGATATCAATACATTCATCGTTGTCTTTTCCGTCCACGGTTACTGCATCGTTGGAAAAAATTATGCCTTCGTAAGTCGATCAGAATTTTATTATGGTTTCCATTGGTAGGTGGATTCGCATTTTACTCGCAATCATTTTAGAGATTTTACCCGGCAAAAAGTTCCAGCAGGAAATTTTACTGGTTTTACTCGGTTTGTGATGGACTTTTCCGTCAGGTGGATTGCTGTGCAGTTTCGTCACTGGTTTCAATTGGGAATTAATAAGTAGACATTTTCTGACTGGAAAAAGCAGAGATCCGTCAGAATTCAGGATGCAATTCCAGTTGGATCCCGTTGGTTCATTCCAGCTGGAAACAGCATACCAATTCACAAATAGTCTGGTTGTAAATGCCGCAATTTCTGCTGGAAGTGGCTCACATTTACGGGTGGAAAGCTTCCAAGGTAAGATCTTCGTTGACGTGAACGGGACTCAAAAAAAAAGTACGTGTAGCAATAAATTAATATTTTTCCGAATAAAGAGTTACACTACCAGCAGGAATCGGATTTCACGAAAACATGGCAACAAATGCATTTCGTCCAAGATATTAGTTTTCTCGTTTACTTTTCGTCGGCGCTAGCTTAACATTTTTCGTTCTGGCCGGAATGAAGATAGTAAAAAAGGCAAAGACACTTTCGCCTTAATATTCGCTGACGAATGCTTGATCGATTTGAAAGCTTGCCAAAGGTGGGCTTTCTCAACGATACACGTGATGATCGCTGCACGGGGTGACGAGCGATCTGGGGGAAGGTGCAGTTAGCCACGAGCCTTTTCTTCGAAATTCTACTGACCCCCATAGTGGACGCTTTTTTATTTATATAATTGATTGTATGGACATGGCCTCCGTTTTGGTACGCGGTGGATATTGCTTTCTATCCTAAGAGCCCACCGTGGGGATTCTTGCGACCCGACGAATAATATGCTAACGCCTAGAAATTTAGCAGGCGTGGTAAACTCGTGCAGTCACTTTTGACAGCTGTCGTGTACAGGTCCTTTACTGTTGAATCGACAAAAAAAATATTGTTGATTTTTGGGGGGAGTTAAGTGCAATTGGGTTACCTATTATCTTTAACGACGATCGTGTAGGACGTAACACATCCTCATCTGATCCCATATCTAAATGTCCGAAGCAACCCCTTATCTTTGGATGAGTAGATGGTGTTGTTGCATGGGGAATGGGTGCCAGGGAAAACGGCCGGTGGATGCCAGAACGACTTCAACAGCTATGCCAAAAATCCGCAATATCTGATGAAAGTGACGGAAACCGGTGAGTCACCGATAGGTATTCCGCGAAGTTTTTCATCTCTCCCAGTGAGAATTAAGCCCACACTCGCTTTGCTAGGACTCGTCCTTATCGTTAAGGATTTCTCGCATAGACGATAAAATTGCAAAGCAAGACTCCAAAGCTTTCAAGATATCGCAATGAAACTTGGAAGACGTCCTCACGGAAAAATATTTATTTGCAACCCGTCCTTTAGATGTTAAAAAAAAAATAACTGCATTCTGTCCCGGGCTTTGCCTAAAAATCTACTTGACCACATGCCGACCAAGCAGCCTGAAAACCCGTAATATTTGGAATGGAGATGGAAAGTGGGACAGGTTTCAAACTAGAAGGAGCCGCATTGACGGCGTAAAACTGGAAGGAATCCGAAACTCATCGAGAGTAAGGAGCCAAGAGAGAGAACAAACTTCACACCTGCACAAGTGAAAACAGAACCGAAGAAAAGAAATCCGCGTTCACGAGCACCTCGAGCCCACAGACAATTTTCCTTCCTGTTTGTCGTCTCGCTTCCGTTCCTGTTTAAAATTCCCGGAGTTTTGTACTCCTCGTCGCCCGGCTTCCATTTTTTTTCAATCCCCGTTCTCCTCTGCACCGCAGCCAGAGATGGAATCGATGGAACGGAACTCGAAAATCAGCAGACCGAAATGTTATTCACGTGATTTCTATTCCGAAGCGTGAAAAAGGGTGCTTCTTCGAGGATCTTTAGCTACAAGAACGAAAGGTATAGGACTTCTCCTATTCGCTTTCGTTTAAGCCCAGCCCACAAGTCGCATCTCAAGTGTCACTTCTCGTCTCATCTCGCCTTCTTCAGAATGTCCCGAGTGAATTTCTTTACGGATCAGACGTGTAAAACATTTCTGGCGTTCCGATTCCTCTCCCTGCCATGTTTACTGACGCAGACCGATGAAATTTTACCCTGGTAAAATCATTTTTCAATATCGTCAAAGATAAAAGTTTTAAAATAAGTATGCCAAAAAGCCAACAGGTTTATTTCGAAGGAAACTAAAGTTTTCTCGTGAAAAGAATGGACAATGGGTCAACTAAATCTTTCTGCATGTCTCTATGCCTTGCTGAAAAACCTCATGAGAATGACCTCAAAAGGTTTGGAACAGGTAGCACATAAGGTTGACTTACGTGCTACCTGTTCTAGGACTTTCGAATAGAGGCCCCACTTGCCTCATCGTGGCTATTTAACCATGCATGGTCCTTAAAGTCCCTAATATTCATATACCTTCAGGTTACACGACTGTGATTTATTACATCCTCAATACATCATTCCATCCGGTGGGTCAGAATTGTCTGGAGTCTCCCTGAACTGAGCTATCTCTTCGGACAAGTTTTTAGAAAATCAAATATCTTTCATAACGTTCTATGTCGGAATAAAAAAGCCTACGATTTGGAGAGTACAGGAGAGATGCTCCAGTGAGATCAGGGGGATATTCATCAGAGCGGCTACGTAGTCTCGCGTCGGTTGTGCATTTCATAAAAACTTCTTGAGATCCTCATTAGGTTTTCGATCTCGTGAGACCTCGATCCTCATGACGTTTCAGAGCCTCATGAGGAACTGCACAATCTTCATGAGAAGGTCGTGAAATCTCTTGAGAAATTCATGAGTTTTTAGAGGTTTTTTGAGCAGGGTGTCGCTCAAGTACGAGGAGTTAGCATGCCTCAACATGATTAACGAGTTGATCTGATTACAAGTAAAATAGAGATTCCCATCATATCACTCAGACATGAAGGTGATTGCGTCACAGGATCAACTAAATCCTTATGAATTTGGAATGAGCAAAAAATGATATGGCTGCAATGTCAGAATGGTGGCTAAAATATCATTGGATTAAACAACTATTTGACAGACGAATTCGCAATATTCCCTTGGATTTTCCACAAAATAAATGCTATTAAGAGCGAGTGGACCTTGCATGAGATGGAAATAAACATTCACTGAGAAGTTTCGCTCATTCCCTTCTCGCTCATGGAATTTTTTTCTGTTCGGCAAGAATTTTGCTCTACTGTGAAAAAAAAAACAGAAAGACTTGGCAATCATCCTTTGAACATCGAGACGACGGCGAGAATTAAAAGGGGAGTTTTGGGGAACATCCCATTAGTTTTTCCCCTTGAGGTTCTTTTGTCCCATGCGACTGCCTGCCAAACAGCTGGCGCAGTAATTTTCTTCATTGGTGTTTGCATGTTTCATGATGAGATTCTGGAGGAGAGATTTGTGCGGTCCTGATCGGACTCATGCAGAAGTACCGACGCGAGAGACGGAAGGAAGGCATCACGGAGCTGGACATCGGATTCACCGTCTACAAGGTAAAGAAAATGGATGTGAAAAGAAACAAACTGAAAAAGTGAAGAAAAGTGAAAGGGGAAGAAATAGAAAAGGAGGGAAAAAGAGATGTAGGGTTGATGAGGGGGGGCTTGGTGCGTACATTTTCCGGCTCTTCTCACTCGTATAATTCAGTCGAACCTCATGGGGGGATCGACAGGGCCTTATGGAATTGTATTCCTAATACCCAGGGCCACCGGCTGGTCGCTCCCCCTTTTCCCTTTCCCCCTTTTTCCCTTTTTCTCCCATTTTCCCTTTGACTGGTTCCTTTCCTTTCCGTTTCTCGTTCTCGCCTTCCATATACCGAGGCAGGCAAGAGCCCATCGCCGGTCTCGCATTCCGACGCGGAATTTTTAGAATAAAATATGCCAGCAAGGGTGGGGACGGTTCCCTGCAAGATGATGGATCCCTCATGCTGCTTTGTGAATCTATAATAAGGTGAAATTAAAGTGATCTAGCTGTGAAAGACTCTAAGCCATGGGATCACTAATATTTATTAGCTCCCCTTTCATGAACTCAACATGAACTTCCCTATGAGCAACTTTGCCTTTAGAGCAGTTTGATATTTTGTTAGTCGATGGGCAGAAACTAAAAATCCGGAGAGAATCTCTGGCATCCGTTTTGTTTTGTTTGTTTGTTTTTATTTTTAAGTTCCTTCGTTTCTATATCAAAGCAACACTAAATTATTAGGGGTGGAGATGAAAGTCAACTGGGACAAGTGAACTGCACCCACTTACAAGGGGTCTTAGGGAGGGTTTCTCCGTAGAGAATCATCGCGTGACATTCCAATTTTCATTTAATTTATTTAAACCTCACCGCGTGCACCGTTCTATCAATAATGGTCCATCTGTTGTCTTTTTTATTAAAAACATTGAAGATTAAAGTCGACTTAAATGCAATTTATAATATCTACAAGACTGGGAAAATACCTCTCCATTGGAAATTGAAGTGATTCATGCAGAAAACTGTCACCCCAGTGAAGAAAGGAAAGAGAAAACATTCTTCATATCTCTGAAAACTAGGGTAGATTTTTGAACAGAGCACTATCCGATAATGCAGCTTTATTTCAGAGAAAATGCATTATAAATCTGCTTAATTATTGGATTATCGGATTGTGCTCTGTTCAAATATCCACCCCTAGTTTCGAACCCCAACGAGTCACTCTCTCATATACGAGAGGTAAATCCTAGCGTACATCACATCGACCCTTACAAAACGTCCACCCCCTATCCATCTGGTCAAACAACCAGGTGGATAGGGGGTGGATTAGGAACCAGGTGGACGTCCTCACATCTGTAAGAACCCTATAAGATTCCTATAGGAATCCTATAAGATTCTTTCGTAAGGGTCTCTACCCTTATTGTCTACACTCTTCATCGGGCGAAACTGCATTGAGTACTCGTGGAGCAGGAGAGGTAGAATGAAGAACGGAGAGGATTCAGAGGATTAATCGCCGTATAATTTCGATTTTACTTAACAGGTAGAAGACTCGGGACGGCTAAAGGGAGAAGACCTTGCCACAATGTCCCCTTTCATGTCATCGGGAGCCTACACGAATCTGAGAGAAGTTGTAGCTAATGCGGCTTTCCCCCCTGGAGATTACATCATCATCCCTTGTACTTACGATGCTGATCAAGAGGCACAATTCATGATCCGAGCCTACTCAGAGAAACCCATTACCATCACGGAGCTTCAATGAAATTTCTTCACTCCCTTGTCCACCTCGTTGTGTACCCTGTGTCTCATTTCTCCCGTCTGTGATAAATGTTCCAAATCTTTGCATGCAACAAGTCTAGGTGCCTTAAACATACCACAAATAAAAAATCAAATAATTCTGACACTTTAAAAGTTAATTAATAGAGTTCGGTGATTGGCGAAGCTTTTCCTGTTGAGAGCGAAGTTGGGTGGAAGAATGTTGACCGATTTCGCAATCTTTCCATCCACGATATCCAACATGGTTTTCAATCCCCTGTTTCCTATTTTGAACCCGAGTTCCATTTGAGTCTCGGGATGGAATTCAGCCTCGTAGATTTGATGCATTCCATCACTATCCAAGGCCGATGCCAAGGTAAATCCAAGTCATCTATCTCAACTTGGAATGATCATATACCCTAGAATGAGAGACTCAACAAAAAAAAAGAGGACAGACTTGAAACAGAAATAAATCAAATTCAAGAAAAGGTTTAACTGTGCAAATAATTTCGAACTAAATGAATAAATGGAAACCAAGCTAAACAAATTGTTTTTTTTTTAGGAATTTGATAAATCCGATGGCTTGAGACCCTCCGTTCTCCATCTTGCAATGCCTCTTCGAAGTCAGCAGGAGATGAACCGATCCCCACTTTGCTGCACGATCAAAAGCCTGTCAAAGATGACAATATGAGGAGAAAATCTAATCTAACGTCTACATGCTACAATCCAGCATCTATGTCTACATACTGAAAGAAATGATAAGGAACTGAATAGGATGGAGTAAAACCCTCCATTGTATATTCTCTGGATGAAGCAATGTACAAGGCCAGGATAATGGTACTCGAATACCTGTTTGAACATTATTGGCCTGAGGAGGAAATGCTTTGTTACTATCGCGAGTGACTCTTTTGATTAGTAGCCTGGGGGGCATTCATTCGAGGGCAAAGGAAGGGCCGGGCCAGAGCCTGAAAACTTCCAAGTCACTGCCCATTTTAGGTCATATCTTACGTCCACAGAAGGCAGTGTACTCTGTGGGCCATCAAAGGCTGAAAGGGGAGGAGGTGCTGGCTGCCGAGGCATAAATATTTCGTTAGTCAAACATTCCCAAAGAGCTCATGCACCCCTCGTACGCACGACGTTGACGTACCTAACCATGAGCCTTCCCAAGCAGAAAGCCTGTAGAATTTTTTAAATTTATTTCTGCAGGCTATCTGACTAACGTCAGACAAATTAAGTATTCTGGAGTGGATGAAATTCTGGCATGGGCGGCTCATGATATTCAGCAGTTGTAGATAGCCAATGGAGGTAGGGTAAGCCCGGGCCTACCTGCTTCCATCCATTAATGTTGAATGTCATGAGCCGTCCTTGAATCCTGCAGAATCCTGATGCAGAGGCATCTAAAACGATGGATACCGATGAGTGCTGCATAGTACATGTTATATCACAAGGTAGTCGGAGACGGCACTTATGGACTGGTAAGCAGGCGTGGTGGGAGGGATTGCACCAATTTTTTTTCAAATAGGGAGCCTTCATGGATTGCACCAATTACTGCGGAGTCACGATCCTCAGCATACCTATTACAGTCTATGGGAGGTGCTGAAAAAAAAGAGCTGGGGTAGTCGTAGGAGAAGAGGAACAGAACAGCCTGGGTGAAAGGCGCGGCATCACCCACCAGCTCTAAACTCTCCACCAGGTTCCCAAATGGGATTTTTAGGATGCCAAAAAGAGATTAACATGTGAAGATCCATTTCTCAGCATTATCATATCACAGCATTATCATATATCTCATCACTATATCAAAATCACACTCAATGAGGGATGTAATGTGGTCACGTAGTTCTCTGGGCGGAGTTGCAGATGATGAAGGGGGGGTGGTGTCCCCTCCTTCACGTCATGTTCATTGAAGTTTGGAGCGAAAAGATGAGGTCGCAGATATAAGCTGCCGAAAGGAAGTTTTTGGGTCAGGTGATTGATGTTATGCGTCGTCATAGGATGCAAAGTGGGCCCATCTATGAAAGCCACAAGGTCGAGCATTATTCTCCCGATGGAGAAATTTCAAGTCACGTGTCTTGCTGTCACGTGACTTGGCCGCACGCCCACCGAGAGATTCCCAATAAGAGTCTCTCAGTCCAAGATATCCGACAGAAAACCAGTCGATAGACTTCGTACGAGATGGAATGGCTATGTTGCTTGGCTTCGTCCTACGAAGCTCGGCAAAGCAACTGCCGAATTGGCATCCGTTGGCCAAGTTCGGGAACGCTAGAGAACGCTTCTCTGCCTCTTTTAACTACGAACTCATTGGATTGGGATGGGAGGCCTTGAATATGAATTAATGAATGAGATCATCGAATGTATGCATTTATACAGGGTGGTCCAAAAAAAGTGCACCTATTTTCAAATGGCATTTTCTCGAAAACTGCTAGCGACTTGAAAGAAAAAACAAACAAAAGTTCAATTAATTTTTTATGGAATGGTATATGGTTTTATGACCATAGCTCCCATACCATGGCTGCCATGCCCATTTTTAAAAAACATACCACCAAAAAAAGTTGCGCGCATACCTTTGTACGTGCTAGTTTGGCATTCGGCATTGGCGTCGCCTTTCCCCCTCTATTTCATAGCATACTCGCTCAGTTTTTTTTAAATTTATTTTCAACCGGTGTTTCAAGTTTTTGAAAAAACTCTTCCAAACCGGGAGTGGAAAACGTGCTCCAAGTAGTGGCCGCCCAAAAAGTGTAAGAACTGAGGTGAACATTCGAGCTGTTAGTGACCTCATCTCGAGCCAAGAAGGCAGACCAGGCACCAGCAAAAGCTAGCGTGAAGTTGCGAAGGAAATTGGAATTTCGCGTTCTTCTGTGCAGCATATCATCAAGCAATATCTTAGATTCAAAGTCTTCAAACGGGTACCAGTTCCCGAACTTTCGGAAGCTGTGAAGAAGTATATTCGCATACACAAGGGACCGATGAGGCTCTGAAGAAGGAGTGCTCCATAGGGACCAGCATCGATAATTTCAATAGATGTATAGCTCGTGCGTCGTTGTGTACACCTGTGAATTATCCATGGTCGACATGGCCGACTAGCCTCCACATCGATTTGCAGGGGTAGAGTAGAGTCTGGCCTATTTCCCACATATACACTGTGCGATTAAAAATGGGGTGCAACTCATCTCAGCCGAATGTGCAGGGGAATGGCGAAATCCCAACCAAGGACAAGGATGTGAGCTTGAATCTTCTTTTTAATAGCATACTTTGAATCAAAGCCATACCTAGTCGAAAGACATTCATCGTGCCATTGATGGTTTCCGTCGACGCGTACATAAGCCTTATTTGGGCTATCATTGGCAGATGGTTGACTAACGGTTGGGTGAAGCCAGCTTATAGTCGGACATGTCCTGTTGGCCCATCATCGGGCCAATTGAGGCTCCCTGTTGGAAATCCGCACATGCCCCACTAATAAGCCCGTGATGAGTCTTCCACGAAGCGAATAAAAAAATTGCCGAAAATCTCATGAACTGGCTCTATAACGCATCTTTGAGAGATAACTATGTATCCCTTGGCAAAATCTTCTCTCGTGCTTTTCTTCTTCATCTGGCTGGATAAAAATAAGCCACGTAAGATATATGTCAAATGGCGAAGTGACGTTGCGCAAATACACATGTACTTTGTTCGTTACCTGGGTCGGGAGAAGTTGGCATGCCGACCGCTAGACGGCCGGTCGGCTTTTATTGGAACTGGGAGTATTCCACATTGGCCGTAGTATTCATCATTACCCCATTTTCCTCAATGTTTATTGGTACCTGTAGATTCAAGACCGCATTTTCGAACTCTAAGAAATTCGAGTGAATCAAAGTCGAAAAAAAGAATCTACTAAACTAACCCAAAGACATAGATATGAACTGGTTATCGAGGATATTCAGAAGTAGAGCGAGAATCCTGTTTTCCATGTCTCACGAAAATAACCTATTTTCATCTTCTGCTGAATTATTCACTTCCTGGGAAGTTTTGTTCCGGAAATTCATTCTCGAATACGTCCTCCCTCGGCAACAACACTTCGATTAGGGACAGAACTTGGAATACGTCGTGATGACGTCGTTCGGCTGAAAACTGAATATTAACAAGGCCGGGAGAATTATGGCATTCAATTGGAAATGGAGGAAATGAGAGGTTTCATTTCACCATCCATCAAATGCTCGACTCCCTGTCGAATTAAATTCGCCAGTCTTCGGACAGGTTAGGGACGATATTTGGCCTTTCTTAGGGTTGCAATGAAATCTTCCTAGACTGAAGTAACAGGACTCTCTTAACCTTTTAATTCACGCCCTCGACACAATGTTGCCAAACTGCAAGCAAGGAATGCGGCCAGCCCTATTCTTCAATGTGCTCGACTACGTTCGGCAAATTATTGCCGATTTGGAAGAAGCAGTCGAAGCTGTGGAGCAGAAGAATGCCAAAAAGTAGGACAATAAATTCCTTGGCTTCAGCATCCCAAGACCCGCCAAAGAGTTAGGCTCCAGTTTCGGGAGGAATCTGAAATTGCGAATGCGGAATCCTACTAGCATGAAACACTCCGTCAGTTTGGACCAGTCATTTAATAAACCGAACACTTGTAAGATCCATGGTCTATCCCTGTCGCCTGAAATGGTTTACATCCTAGACTTTGATTAGGCCCCGCATCCTCAGTTTTCAGACAAGATGGTGGGCAGTTATGCGGATTACAGTCCCACCATAGAAATTTCTATAGAATAGCTGATAAAACCCCTCTATAAGATTTCGGGAAGGTTTCTATAGAGGCTTTATAGAGAAATTTCTATGAGGCTCCTATAAATTTTGTATGCAAAAGGGGTGTTTTTAGGGGGGGGGGGGGGTAGGAGCCTAGAGCCAAAAAATGTCAAATAAATTTTTTGGCTCCAGTCAAATGAAAGGACATTGAAAGCTGAAACTATAAATGAACTACTGATGCTGATTTCACACAAAATTTCTACTTTTCAGATACTTCCGGACATATTAAATGATGGTGATTAAAAAAAAACGCTCTACCGTTTTCTATGGGAGAAACACAGTTTCATAAATTCAGCGAAAAAAATTCCATTGGATAGGCTATCGATATTTGACTGTTCCCAGGTGTTGAAATGTAGGAGCCTAGAGCCAAAAAATTCCAAATAAATATTTTGGCTCTAGTCAAATGAAAGGACATTGAAAGCTGAAACTATAAATGAACTACTGATGCTGATTTCACACAAAATTTCTACTTTTCAGATACTTCCGGACATATATAGGGTGATTAAAAAAAAACGCTCAACCGTTTACTATGGGAGAAACACAGTTTCATAAATTCAGCGAAAAAAATTCCATTGGATAGGCTATCGATATTTGACTGTTCCCAGGTGTTGAAATGCTTGCCAGCTTTTTTTCAACACTCTTGCCTAAATTTTGCAATTCCAATTTAGAGGTGAATTATAAGTGCTTAGATGTGGAGCATTCCACCTCAAGTGAAGTGACGACCTGTGCTCGATCGTCTCAGAATTAAGTGAATTTTTCAATTTTAACTTTTCAAAGGACAATTAGATCCAATTGATCCAATTGATTGGGGGGGGGAGGAAGTTCTCTGAATTTTTTTACTTCAATGAAATGGAGTGACATGGACAGCTGAAACTTATATAGAGGTACCTGTTGAGATATAGATATGGAAGGAAATAATAATCTTGGGATACATTTCCTTGTGGCAATTATTTCATTATTATTAAACGTTCCCTTTCACGCTTTCTTGTCCTAATGATACCGGAACCTGAACGAAGCTGAAGTTCTGTAAACACGCCGTTTTAGGAAATGCGCTTTCAAGGAAATACTGACTTGTGAGGCCATTTCCTTGGGACGCAAATACTAGAATTATCAGAAAATTATCAGAAACGTCCCCACATAGGGGACGTTTCTCCCTGCTGCAAATCGGGCAGCAGTGGACAATTGAATCTGGGGGCAATTTTTTCGAATCGATTTTCCAGGAGTTTTTTCGCTTCAGTAAGTGGGTAAATGAATACATCTCCATTTTCATACTTTTTCAAATTCTGAGAAAATCGTGAGATTGGAATCCTGTCATCTTCAAGGTCCCTTTTTTGAGGGGAGAGGAATGGGTAACCTTGCAGAATTTGTTCAAGGAAAACTGATTCTTACAGTCTTGCTATAGAAGGCAATGTATGAAGGATAAACCTTAAGGCGACGTTTCGGCGGAAATGAAGAGTCTCTGCTTGGTTCATGTTGCTAACATCAAGCCGAGAATGACTTCATACAACCAGAAGTAGCTTAAACCCACAAAAAAAAATACGTATGACCCAAGGAGTTTTACATGGCGTGTTCATAGCGAATTTGTTTTCCCGAAGGGCAAACAAACTGGCTAGCATCAAATAAGGCTGATAAACAATGGACATCCTAGGTCCAGTGGTTTTCGACTGATTGCATTCCCTCTGCTGAGGCGGAAGCGGGAATTCCTATTTCAGTCACTGATTTTGCCAGATGTAGTTATTTTGAGACCGCAGATATCGCTCAGTTGGATAGCATGAGGTGCCTTTCAAAAGGTGATTGGGGTGCAATGAATGGGAAATCACTGTACCGTAGGCATTCGTATTCTTCGATTTGAGTGAAGCCATTGCCTAAGAGCAATGACTAGAAATTAGAGATCTACTACATCTGCAGCATGTAAGTAGTGCCATGTCTTTAGAATTCATTTGACTCATCGACTCCATATGGACTCCATCCGTTGTGGGATGTGGATGTGTCCCATAATGGACGTCCTATGGACATACTAAGGATTTGGTGTACGGGATGAGAGTATTTCTAACCTTATGGGATGCCCTCTGAATGCTCCAGGGATTTCCATATCCCGGGACGATTTCATTATGACATCCATGGGATGTCATTTTGTCCCACCTAGGATCCAAATGGGATGTCCCAGGGATGATCCCTTGCTACTTGGGTAGGTTTCTATCGGATTTTTATAGAGAATTCTATAGGATTCAGTATAAACCTCTGTAGAGTCTCCATAGAATATTCTACAGAATCTACTGCAGAATTCGATATAATCCCTCTTTAGAGGCTACCAGATTCTGTAAGAGACTCTATGGATCTCTATAGAACATCTTCATCTGGGTATTGTTCTCTGCGCTTATATACAGGGTGGCGCAAAAGTTGCTCACGATAGAGGATTTCACCGTTTCACTATTTTCTAGTTTCTTCATTTGAAAGTAACTGATGGCAGCAAAATTAACAAAAGACGGAGTTGAGGTGCGAACAAAGACGGTGGAGTTAAGATATGTTCAAACGTTGTGTTTAACGAATCGAAATATTGTCAAGTTAATTGCAAACTATTCGAACATTTGCTCTAATTTACCCTATGGTGCGCGACTTTTGCGCCACCCTGTACAGTTGCTCATATTACCTCTACGCATTCGGCGATTGAATTCATGAGAGGCATGTTTGTATCCCAAACGTACTTCGACAGAAGGGAGCCGCGAGAGACAAGGGAACGTTGGCAAACGGGATCGACGAGGTGGAAGTTCCAGAGGACTGGGAATGGATTCCGGAGTTCAAGGTCTTCTCAGGACGCTATTATCTATGCGTTTCACGTATTTCGATCTCCTCTTCAACTCAAATTTCTCTCTAGGACAAGGCGGTGATAAAGCCAGTGAAAAGGGACAAGTACCTGGATACGAAATTTCCTCCTGTATCTGGTTCCCTCTTCTTCTCTAAGGATCAGAGCAATGTGGAATGGAAGAGACCCAACGTGTGTCCACGTTTTCCTTCTTCGTTCATCACTATCATGGATCCAAGTTGAACGTTCTTGAATAGATTGATGCAAAAAAAAAAGAGAGAAAGAATTAAATGAATACTTGCACATGAAAATTATGAAGGAGGTTTAAGAAGCAGTGGAAGAACGGTTGAATTGATCCATAAAGGAATACAAAAATTTATAAAATGATGAATGAGGAACTGTAATACAATACAGTAATAACATAATTAATCGAAAAGAACACAACCCAAGCCATCTCGGCTCAGTGGAGCTCATTTCCGCCCTCAAAAGGAATAAAATGATGGAAATGAGGCGCTCTGTTGGCCACTATTCCAGGAGTTGGTAGAGGAACCGGAGTTGAAAGTAGCGGGATCGTCTAAGTCTGACGTGCTTCAGGGGGGACTAGGCGACTGTTGGTTCCTCTCCGCTTGCGCTGCAGTGTCTAACATGCAAATGGTTATAGACAAGGTAAGTCCAGCCCTCCCATCCCAAAGGAGCATCGTCCAATACGGAAATTTAATCCTGATTTATTCCCTCGGAGGTGATCCCGCCGAATCAGTCCTTGTACTGGGAGGATCATAAAGGAATCGTGCTCTGTCGCTTTTGGCGCTATGAGGAATGGCAGCCCATCTACGTGGATGACACTTTGCCCACAATGGATTCCGAATTGATTTTCGGCCATTGCAACGAAAAGCGTGAATTCTGGCTCCCCATGCTCGAAAAGGCCTACGCCAAGTAGGTCTACGGCTTTAGTTTCCTTTCTCCCAAACTCCCCCAAGCCCTTCCCCAATTGTTCCCCTTCCCCTTCTTTCTCCTCTCCGTAAGGTGATACATTTCAAATAGTATTGGCTCTTGGGTGAAGTTGGCATTTCCACTTTCTGGGACCTCAGAAACCGATTTACTTTCCATATGAGTACCTCTTCCCGCCCAAATATTTGGATATTCTCGAAATGAGGCGATTCTTATTCTACTACTATAGTTCATCACCCTAGATTCTCTTTTGGATTCAGAGTTGAATTGCTATTTTTTTATCACTTGCGTCAGTCTGGCGTTATCACTCTTGCTACGCGTAGAGTGATCGAGATAAATGTTTGTTATCATCCAGGTGTTTAGAAAACAGCTGGAGTTTATTACCGATCTCACCAACTGGTGGATTCGTCGTAGCTACATTTACAGCTGCGATGTTAATTCTGTACTAATCGCTGGAGGATTGGTTGTTTCTCATGGGTAATGACGTCATCCATCCTCTGCCCTTCACCCTCGCCTGTGCAAAGAATCTGCCCTATACGAGGGTTGGATTTTTAATAATGGCAACAGTGTATACATTTGAAAACAGGACTTTATTGCTCTAATTTATCATCTACATGCTTTCAATATACTCGCCCCCTAACTCAATGACTCGCTGCCATACTTGTGGAAGTCGTTGAATGCCATCAGCGGAGGGATTATTGTTGATGTCTGCAATCACTCGCCCTATCGCTCGCAAGATTTCATCAATGTTGCGATAACGGTTTCCACGCAATGGTTCCTTCAGCTTTGCAAGCAAATCAAAGTCACAAGGACTCATGTCGGGTGAATAGGGAGGGTGTTCTAATGTCTCCCACCCCCAGCGACGCAATAAATCCTTGACAGGAGCTGCAACATGACAACTTGCATTGTC